AAACACCCCAACAAACAAACAAACAAACAAACAAAGAGGTGAATATGAAGTTGTTTGAAACGAGCCTTTGTTCAGTTCTGCCTCCCTCAAGCAAATCTTACCAAACCAAACTCAACCTAGCCTGACCCCATCCACCCGGTAATGTCCAATGAGGGCAGGGATGGTCTGTGTCTTTGCCTTCCAGTTAGTCTTTATTAAAGAAATGAACACACTTACTTCCATCTTTAAAAAAAATTAAAGATGTAAGTAAAAGTAACATCGAATCACACTTTATATCTATATTTTTGTTTTCACGCCCGTTTTGCAAAATGTTTCATTAAGTTTAATTATTAAACACGTTTTAATAAGTAATAGTAGAAACAATATTTAGCAATTTGATTTTACGTTGGAAATCAGTCAGTCTTGAACTGTCCAAGCCCTCTGAGTTTGAACTATAAAACTATTGACATCACAAATTGTCTTCTTATCAGCTGATATAAGAATACACACTGGAGCGGTGTGTGTTATTGGATATTAATTAGACAGTGTTTACCGGACATGTCAGTGGTAAACTTACAGATAAATCCTAAACATTTGTCCATAGGCCAATTGTCAAGGTGAGAGAGCAAGCATGCCGAAATAATTAAAATATTCGAATGTTTTTGTGCGGGTTTTCAGTTTGCACGAACTCCTAAGAAAACAAAAGTAAGTCTCTATCCGCTCTGAGCAGAACAACAGAGGGCGTGTTTTTTAGTAGCCACCCATAAACGTATAGACCGCCTGATCCGATTCAAAACTGCAGGTTTTTTTTGTGATCTACGCGGCGCCCGACTAAAATCAAAACTATGGGCAAATTCGCCCCTCGGTATAGGAAATTTATGTATAGTTGAAGAATTCCAGCCATAGAATTATATGAAGCCATTTTTTTTTATTGAAAAAAATCCTCTATTTACTTAATCTGGCCCATAGGAATTCAAAACAATGCGGTTGCAACATTTGAAAAGATGATTAATAGCAGTACCCAAGATCAAAAATGAGAACATAATTTGGGAGCACATGTAAACAAATACAGGCCATGTAAGTGCGTTGCGCGTAATGCGCACTGGACGCGCTGCCATCCGTCGCTTCGCTCATTGTTTGCCCATACTTCTCAAAATCACGGTTATAGTAAAAAATTGTATAGCGCGGTGCTATACGATCTTTGGTTAAATAGTGTAATTTGACCATTGATCTCCATTTTATAGACTGGAAAGGACATCGCGTCCAAAAAGTATGCGCATTTTCAGGAGGGTAAATAACAAGCGTTGCGAATTTCGTTGCGTACACTTTCAAATGGCGTTTTTCAAAAACCGGTTGCTTCAATCGTCAGATTTCCAATAAAAACTGAATTCTGCACTTAGAATGGATAAATTTGGAAAGAAAAATGGTTGAGGTGTACGCAGCAGTGATTTACCGGAGGTCAACGTCATGTTTAGGAGAAGGAACAGAAAGAAATGTGAGTTGCACTTTTTTTTTACTTTCAGAAAGTTTCTCAAGTTGTACTTTATAATGTATAGGCCTGGGAAGAAATTTATGACAGTCTATCCAGCCTATCAGGCTTTGTGTATGAAACTTCACTATCTTGAAGTTGGGACTGTCTGAAATGTTACTTATTGGCAAAAGTGGTTTCAAAAACTGAATGACTAATTTGTCATTTATTTACTCCAGATTTCACCGGAAAAATCTCCCAGATAGTCATGATTTGCGCTTGTCGGTTCTAAAGACGCACTGAACCCAAATCGTGTGACAGACAGTGTGATATGAGTGACAGAATTCTTCTTCGGGGCAGAGATGAAACCAAAGTGAGAAGCAGAGTGCTGACGTTTCTGTTGAATGAAGTTACAAACAACGGAATTCAAAGTCAACGCAATGAAAGAAACTTAGTCTACATAACAAAATTATTCGTTCTCGGTTAAAGGGTGACTTTTTTATGCCGGAAAGTAATTGTTAAATGTAAATCTTTAAGTCAGGTTGTGAACTCAACTTTTTAAGCTAATTAATAAGTGTCTAATTAAAAACGGCAGTAACTTAGTTTGGTGGCTTATTTAAAGCTGCGCTCACTTTGTGCTCACAGAAAAGATTCTCACACTTCCGTATGCCGCATGTTGGTTTTCAATAACATTTACTAAACATATTGTGACGCGACAGAGGGCGCT